TTATTAAAAAATTAATAAAAAAATTATTAAAAACAAAAAAAATCATTTAATATTATTTAAATATTAAAATAATAATAAAAAGTACATAAAAAAAATTAAAAACATTAAACATCATCTTCCTCTCCTTTCGTGCATCTCCCCCCTCTCTCTTCCCATCATCTTCCTGCAACCCAGCAACCCAGCAACCCAGAAAATAAGAAGGAGAAAGAAGAAGAAGAAGAAGAGAAAAAAAAAAAAAAAACCAAACCAAACCCAGTTCATCCCCCCTCCCCCCACCACAAACTCAACCCCCTGCAACCTAGAAAGGAGCAGGAAGAAGAAGGAAACAAAAAAAAAAAAAAAAAAAAAAAAAAAAAAAGGAAACCCAGTTCGTCCCTTGCAGAAGAAGAAGAAGAGGGAAGAAGAGGGAGGAAGAAGAAGAGAGAAGGGAAAAAAAAAAGAAAAAAAAGCAGCAAACCCGTCCCCTCCCACCCAACCCCACCCCCCCCAACCTAACCCGCAGAAGAAGAGGGAAGCAGAAGAAAGAGAAGAAGAAGAAAAAAAAAAAAAAAAAAAAACCCAGTTCGTCCCCCTGCAGAAGAAGAAGAAGAAGAGGGAAGAAGAGGGAAAGAAGAAGAGGGAAGAAAAGAAAAAAAAAAAAAAAAAAAAAAAAAAAAACAACCCAGTTCGCCGCCTGCAGAAGAAGAAGAAGAAGAAGAAGAAGAAGAAGAAGAAGAAGAAGAAGAAGAAGAAGAAGAGGGAAGAAGAGGGAAGAAAAGAAAAAAAAAAAAAAAAACAACCCAATTCACCCCCTGCAGAAGAAGAAGAAGAGAGAAGAAAAAGAAAGAAAAAAAAAATCGAGTTCGTCCCCTGCAGAAGAGGGAAGAAGAAGAGGGAAGAAGAGAAGAAAAAGAAAAAAAAAAAAAAAAAAAAAACCCACTTCGTCCCCCTGCAGAAGTAGAAGAAGAAGAAGAAGAAGAAGAAGAGGGAAGAAAGGGAAGAAGAAGAAGAAGAGAGAAGAACAAAAAAAAAAAAAACAAAAAAAAGCCCACGCCCAGTTCGTCTGCAGAAGAAGAAGAAGAAGAAGAAGAGGGAAGAAGAGGGAAGAAGAAGAAGAGAGAAGAAAAAAAAAAAAGGGTTTTTATTATTTTAATATTTAAATAATATTAAATGATTTTTTTTGTTTTTAATAATTTTTTTATTAATTTTTTAATAAAAATGGGTCCCGGATCAAGCCACGTCAGCATTTAACTGAGAAATAAACGGCCAAGCTAACGGAAGGTATAACATTGACACAAATTCGTAAGATGAGGTATGACATTGTCAATTTTAAAAGATGAGGTATTAAAGTGTCATTTGACCCAAACTTGAGGTAGTTTTTTGTCATTACCCAAACAATTTTATACGGGTTTACCTAATAAGAAACCAACAAGAACAATAAAACAGTCCAACGGGGGCTATTGGGAAATACAAATAAATGCAAACTCAATTCAACAACCAAAAATAATAAAAAAAAAAAAAAAGGACTTTTAGATCTATGTCCAAAAGTATAGGTTGTTTTCAGGATTGAGTCAAGTTATCTACTTACGTATTTTTGTATCAATTATTCAATTTTGTCTTTTTAGACGAAAATTTTAAATCCATTAAATTTTGTGATAAAAGGTATATTATAAAAAGAAAAGAAAAAAATTTGATACAATTAATCTATGTTATAGGTAGACTATGAACAAAAACTTATGGCATATGTAGATAAATAATTAAATGTATATTCTACCTATAAGCGAGATATGAAACCTAACTACAAAATACAAAAATATAATACCTACAAGTAAGATACATTAAGCAGTGATAAATGTTAATTATAAATATGAATCTTTCATATAGGTAGATAAATTGACACACCCCGACCCGGGATGTTCACCTGGATTCCAAATCGAGCTGTGTTGGCTGACACCAGGAGGGTGACAAAACCATAAAGTGTAGTGATGTAGAAAATGTGAGTAAATTTAAACCTAAAAGTGCCTAAGTATAAGAGTGCGTTGGTGAGCGAAAATGAACCCATATCACACGTGATGTCAAAGTATAAGTAAAGTACAGTAGAGTGGATTGAGAATTATATCATCGGAGGTAGTCTCCAATACCAGATTTGCCAAGAATCCTCATCGATATGAAAGTTCAGCTGCTAAAACCTGGAGGGGTGAAAAACAAGGGTGAGTAGGCCTAAAAATAAAGTTTTATAAAAACCTTTTGAAAACATTATAACCCCTTGCCATAAAACAAGTATAGTTTTCAAATATACATACTACATATAGTATGAAAATACTTACCTATTGATAGAAAGTAAAAATATTGTCTACTTTGATATTTTGATTTTAATCGCTTAGAACATCTCCTACAAATCTCGTTAAGAAATAGTAGTCCCTCTATTTGAAAAAGGGTGGTGTTATCCACATATCCATCTTTACCTTGAGTAATGCTAGATAGACTAAATTTGGAGATTTAATTTGTAAACTAAATGATGTGTCACCAATAAGAAATAAACACGTTAATCAACACTTAAAGTAATAATCCAATCATCAACTTCTATATTATTTAGTTTACAAAATTTAGTCTCCCTAACCCTACTTTTTTTACCTCTCACACGTCTCTCTCAATTTCTGGTTGTTAAGTCGAATAAATTGAAAAAGATCAATGGACAAAAAATTAACAAGAATGTGTGAGAGGTAAAAGTCATATTAACTTCTTCCCCTAGAAATGCTATTACTTCGTTTATAGTTGATTTGTGCAAATAAAGTTGAATAATTTAATTTTGAGGTTATCTAACTTAGTAGCAAAAACACCTGGAGGAAAAGAAAAGATTTTAGGAAATTTTATTCAAACCTTATTTTGTATCACTACACCTAATCTTTACATATTCTTGACAAAAAAAAAATAAAAAAAAATCTTTACATTCTCACATTCTATTTTATTTATTCAATATTGTCTCTTTACCTATGACTGAGCCAGAAATTATTTAGCGGGTGGATTAAGATAAAATTATTACTACGAAATCAAATACTCAATTTTCTATAATTTGTTACGACCATAAGGTTGTATAATAGTGTTGACCCTAAAAATTACAAAGCCTACATGGAGCACAAGTCGAGTAACTAATGAGCTAACTACGTCATTCGGTTGATGCGGGGCGTGCCAACTCATCGGCCGAGGAGTAAAATTTGTTGATGTTGCGTTGAGCGTACTGCTAACTTCTTGATCTTACAATTATGACCGAGGAAGGAACACGTCTCGGCCTTCGGGTTCTCGAGCCTGAAGACAAGGCTATTAGTTCTGCGAAGTTCACGAATCGTTCGTGCCAGGTTCGGTCACGGTGATTATATTCGTAAAAGTATACGCACGTCAAACCGGCTCCAAACTACACAGACACACGTACTCAAAAGAGATGTATGTCTTGATGGTAAATGTGGTTCGGCTGTCAAAATGCCGAACTCTGAAACTCACTTGGCGTTCAATGTGCCGAATGTAGTAACTTGTAACACCTTATGTCGCTGAGAAGGCTAATAAGATGACCTCTGCCGATAAGGATTCGGAAACCCTTCTCGACGGAGACTTGAATAGGTAACCAGTCGGCCTCAACGCAGTACTGTTTATCCAAACTGAAGGTGCTCATCGGTCTGCTGATTCTACGGTAACAGTGCTGTTTATCCAAACTGAAAATGTTCGCCGGTTCCCTTCACAGTGTTGTTTATCCAAACTGAAGGTGTGTTGGCGGAAAAATAAAATAAAAAATCTCAAGATTTTTGAGAGGTTTGCGTAGGGCAGTTGTGTGTTGAATTGGAGGGGGCTTGAATGATGCACTCTGCTCTTTATTTACAGCAACAAATCATCCTTAAGATCGAGTTGAAACCATATTCGGACTAAGACTTCTTATTCTGATCCAACCTTATCTTGACCAATCTTACTCCTATTAGGACTTTGAACTCACCCCTCTTTTCAGGTTGTATTCATTTCCGGCCAAGAATCCTCATTGCATTAGGATCCCAAATGTACTAGGACTTCGACCCATCTGCTCTTGTCCAAATCACTCAGTCTTGCAATTGGACTCCACCACCCTAACTGAGCAGCTTAGGACCACCAGACAACCCATAGTACATTTGAAAAAGCTTTGGGCCGAACATAAACCTACGCTCGGCCCAATAATATTATTTTGGGCCCAAACAAATAGTAAACCTGAAAATATTGTCTCCTTACTCACAACGGAGCCAGAAATTATTTAGCGGGTGGATTAAGCTAAAATTATTACTACGAAATCAAATGCTCAATTTTCTATAATTTGTTGCCTACATAAGGTTGTATAATAGTAAACCTGAAAATAATAATTTAAAACAAGAAAATTATAATCTGTTTTATAAGCTTCTGGCCTTCAAAATTTTCAAATGAATAAAATAAGAAACCGTGTGTGGTCTAAAAATTTTAATTTATTACTATTAAATTTTAGTATAGCATTCCTAAAGTTCAGAATTTTCATTTGCTAGGTGAACTATGACAATTAAAAATAGCCCAAAATAATTAGTTTTTTTTTTTTGAACAAACAATATTATCTACACTAAGACCATCTCCACCCTTGGGCTAAAAGTCAAATTTTTTAGCCCAGAAACAGTTTTTCTGCTTTAACCCTTCTGGCCTAAAATTTTAGCTCGGCTAGGCTAATTTTTTTCTTCTTCTTAAATTAACTTTAAAAAAAAAAATTATGTAGACCATTTTAAATTAATTTTATGAACATTTTTATCTAAAAATATTTAAATTCTGATAAATATTGAAAAATCACTAAATCTTTCCACAAAGCAAGCCTTCAACTTTCACCAAACTTTCAACTTTCACCAACCGTTCAACTTTCACTATATAAACACATGTTCAATATCGATTGATCACACCATCTTTCAACCTTCAATCATCCTCTATATTCACCAATCTTTCAACTTTCAAAGTGTTTTTGTTTCCTAAAAATCCTCAATATCTCATCAATGGGTGATAGAAGAAGGCGTATCAGGGCAATGCAGATGGCACAATACCAAACAAGCCTTGACATTGAGGATGCAGAAATGATCAACGCAGAAGCTGAACTTGCAAACTCGCTTATGCAATATGAGCACCATGCCGAATCTAGCTATCGTGGTTCTGTCACGGGGCGTTCATTTGTGCAGCGTGATAGAGAAGAGTGTCATGACCGAATGATGAAATATTATTTCATTGAGCGTTCGAAATTTCCTGCTCATGATTTTCGGAGGCAGTTTCGGATGAGAATATAGCTTTTTGAAAGCATCTTGAACGTAATTGTCAATCATGACCACTACTTTGCAAGGAAGATAGATGTTGTAGGCCGACAAAGTCTATCACCTCATCAGAAGCTCACATTTGCATTTCGGATGCTAACTAATGGGTGGCCTGTAGACTCGATTGATGAGTATTGCCGACTTGCAAAGACTACTGATATTGAGAACCTGAAACGCTTCTATGGGGCAATTCAAGCCATATATGGAGCCACATACCTCCGCAAGCCAAATCGTGAAGACTTAAAAAGGCTTATGCGCAAGGCAGACAAAAGAGGCTTCCTTGGCATGGTAAATGGTAATAGGTATGAGCTAGGTTACTACTTAACTGATTGTATTTATCCTAGTTGGTCTGCCTTTGTCAAAGGTTTTTCTCATCCCGATAGTGCAAAGAAGAAATTATTTTCGCAAAGGCAAGAGTCTTACAGGAAGGATGTGGAGAAAGCGTTCGGGATTTTACAAGCTTGATGGGCCATTGTTAGAGGGCTTGCATGACTTTGGCATACCAAAGACCTCCATTCAATCATGATGACGTGCATAATTTTGCCCAACATGATTATGGAAGATGAGTACATCGAAATTGAAAAAGATTTAGATGAAGATGTGGATGATGACCAACCAACGCATGCGAGAGTTATTGCAAGAGATGTTGAATATCTTGCTGTAACCACATATGAGACCCCGACAGGATATGGTCACATTGAGTGAGTATATGAGACGTTTAAATAGAATTCAAGCTCCTCAAGGTCATGACACACTTCGCAAGGATTTGGTTGAGCATGTATGGCGCCAAAAAGGTGAACGTTGATGATGTTGGTTGAGCATTTATGTAATAATTTTAAGTGTACTATGTTGGTATTTTCTACTAATAAATTTAAGTGTCTTCTTATGCAAAATATTTTATCTAGTACGTTGGATAAATTATTGGATGGAGGTTGAATTATTGAAGGCATCTATTCTACATCAAAGCGTGGAATAATAAGTACAATAATTATTGAAGGCATTTAGATTAATTGAAACAATAATTAATAAGCCATAAATTTAATACACACGACAATTAATAAAGTACATAAACTTAATACAAACGACAATTAATAAACCACATAAACTTAATACAACCGATAATTCATACACTACATAAACTTAATAATGATATCCACCATCTTGACTTGGTGATGGACTTGGGATATAGTAGGGTTGAGATGATTCATCATCTTGAAATATACTCCTTGTGGCATACTTTCGCAAAATTTCCTTTTGCTTACCACGTAAGAACTTCTTCCTCTCTGGAGTGTCTTTGTTGAGGTCCTCCATCATGAAATTAATTTCAAACCTATCTTGCTCCCTATCCCCTTCTTCCTTCATTTGCAAATGCATTCGGGCTGCTTCTTCTTGGCGAGAGCTATGGGTTTCGCTCAATTTTGCAATTCCGATAGCAATGTGTCCACTCATCGAATCTTGGGACTTCCTTTTTCTCTTTGCTTCCTTTTGCTTATCTTTTCCCGGGGGCCTTGCAAAAGAAGGAGTTGAGGGTCATTTCATTGACACCTTCATTGATACCTTCATTTTTGACATTTGTCAGTGCGGCTTCACGTTGAAATAATCTTTTCCATTGTTGGTCCGCATCGGTTCCCCACTTCAGACAATCCTTGAGGACGTCCCAAGCATGTTGCAACTTAAAAACTTGATTTTTTGGTGTTACTCTTGTCTTCTAAATTTCCAATGCTTTGTCACCCTATGCAAAAAATACATAAAAACAATTAGTTGCAAAATAATATTATGTACATGACAAATAAAATATCAAGAAAAAAAATCACAATTTATTTGGCACTCCTTCCACTAGCCATGCCAACCACGGCTCTCTCCAAGCTTCCCTTCCATAAAGTGCATGCTTTGTTGATAGTCCTCCACCGATCGTAAGCACCACTATCGTCCATCGCGCCGCCATTGCAGTTTTCATAAAACTTTTCAATGATTTTATCCCACAAAACCTTTTTATTTTGATTCGTGCCAATTGCACCATCTTCACTAACAACCCATGCCAAGCATAAAACAACATCTTCCTCACAGGTCCAATTACAACCTCTAATATGCTCTCTTGCCATGTTGAACAATTTGGAAATGGAAAGACATGGTAGAAAGAAAAATTGGAAGAATTGTAGGAGAAAATTGAGTTTTGTGTGGATGTTTGAACATATACATAGGTATTTATAGAGTTTTTGGGTGAATTTTGAGTTAAATAATTTTTTTTAATTATTTTAGCCGTTCGATTTAAATTTGGGCTGTTAAATCTTTTTTTTTTTTTTTTTTTTTTACCATTAGATTTGATTATATTCTATTTCAGCCGTTGGATTCAATGTATTTTAAAATAACATTTAAAAAAAACCCAAAATTTGAATCTGGACCGTTGGATCAACCAACGGTACAAAAATGCCAGCCGTTGGATGCAAAAAAGAGTCGTTGGGCTCTGGGTTGTGGCAGATAGCGGCCTTGACAATGGGCCCCCCTGTCGGGCGCTGAAGGCTCACAGGCCGCGTGGGGCGAGTGAACGGGTCGAGAGTGGGGTAATTTTGGGCAAGTCCACGTGTTTGTGGGCTAAATCTTGGGAGAGGTATTTGGCCTTGGTTTGGCATTTAGCTTTTAGCCCAAAGATTTGGCTTGGGTTGGGTTGTGTTTTGGGGAGGGGGGAGGGAGGGAGGGAGGGAATAAGTGGGGTATTTTGGCTTTTCGCCCAGGGTTAGGTGTAGTCTAATGGACAAGGACTCTTTTTTTTTTTTTTTCCCTTCCTTTCCCACCCCTCTTGTTTGAATGCTCAAGATTTCATCATTGTAAGGAGCGAAAAAATAAAAGGGGAAACTTGATATAAGTCCAATTTTTTGAGTCAATTGTAGGAATAGTCCAGTTTATTAAAATAAACCCAATTTGTTATATTTAATTATTTAATTATCAATAGTTATCTGTTCAATGATAAGATTTATTATAAAAATCAAATTTCTTCCCAATTATCTCTTTGCTTATTTCTTTTTATTTATCTTTTTGTTATTTCTCGTTCTTCTTCCTGCTTTAAACCCCATTTATAGATTTTATTTTTAATTTTTATAATCAACCTATATCACAGGTTAATTATATTTATCTGCCTATATGACATATTCTTTTTTTATAATCAACCTGTCACAGATTAATGTGTCTTGCTTGTAGGTATGTTATGTTTTTTCTACCTTTTAATTAGGTTTCATATCTCACGTTTAGGTATTATATGCATTCATATATTTGTTACTTGAGTTAGGATATAATGTTTTGCAGATAAATTTATGTTATTATATTAGTTTTTTTGTTATAAGATATTAAATATATTTTTTTGGAGTTGGAAAATGAATAATATTAGAAGATTTTAATTGATTTTTAATATTTTTAGAAAATATAAAATGAGTATAAAAGAAATAAAAATATATAATTAGATAATTGGACTCATTCCTAAAAACACTCTAGATTTTTGGACTTTGATTTAAAAACCCTAAAATAAAAAAAGTAGAGAGAGAACAAAAAAAAACTGGGAGAGAGGGAGGGATGGAGCGAGGGAAAAAAGAGTGGGGGGGGGGGGGGGGGGAGAGGAGAACCGAGATAATCCATCCTATAACGGCAGCCGCGGCGCCTCCGGTTTTCACCCGGCAAAAAAAGAAAATTACTGAAAGCCTGCAAATCTTTTATTTTTGGTAAAAAAAAAAGCCTGCAAAGTTTTAATCAACTGCTAATTAACCGGCAAAATCTTTTCTAATCACATCACCAAAAGCGGAAAGGGTTCTTGTCTACACTCGAACCCGAAAGAGGTTATAATTTACATCTCAGGAATAAAACATTCATAACTTTCAGCAAAGAATCTTAATCCCAGCACAAAATCTAAATTTCGGATAAGCTCTCACCCTAGATTAGCATACAAGGTAAGAATGTGAGTGACTGAAAGATTGCAAGGCAGATTTCTTGAGAGAGAGAGAGAAAGAGAGACTTCCTCACTTTCTCTCTCCTACTCCTCCGCCGGCCTCCACTGCTGTCCCTATAAAAGCCAACGGCAGCAGCCAACCTTCCTTTCAACCCTAGAAGAAAAGTTACCACATTTCCCCCAATTTAATAATTTTAATCAAGTTTTTCCCTTAATTTAATCATTGTTTATTATATAAACCCACATCACATTTCCCCAAATTTGCAGCTTCCGAAGTTGTTTTTGTAACTGGGAGGCAGCCAAGCCAAGCAAGCAAGACATCTTCCTCTAATCCTCCTCCAAAGGAAGAGTCTTGCACACAGATGCAATAATACCCCAACAACAAACAAACCATCCAAATCCAATCCCCCTCATTATTGTTCAACAATGCTTCTTCCTACCACCTGCATTCTCTTAATTTGTTTCTCTCTATCCCTTCTCTCTAAAGCTTCTTCTTCCTCCTTGAACCTCACCCTCCCTCACCAGCACCCAGACCCTGATGCTGTTGCTCATGAAGTTCAAAGGTTAGAACCCTAATTTCTGCCCCCAAATTACTCAAATCCCCATCTTGGCTCTGCTCATTTTCGATTTTGCAAACTGGGTTTTGCTCATTTTTCTTTATTTTGCAAAAAAGGGTTAATCTTGGCTCCCCATTTTTCAGCTAAAACCCGTCTGGGTTTGGTACATTTTGGTGTTTAATGCTCTGGCACACTCTGTTTTCAAAAATCCCATCTGGGTTTTTCACAAATCATGCATTTTGAGCTGTTAGACCAAAAACCCCAATCGGGGTTCAGCTAATTTTTTCTGCATTTTACCTCATTTTCCCACTAACCAAATAGGGCACTCTGTTTTTTGTTTTCAGGAGAGTCAATGCGTCTGTTTCCAGGCGCCAAATGCTGTCCATTGATGTCAAGGACCAAAGCCAGTGCCTCAGCGGTAACCCAATCGATGACTGCTGGCGCTGCGAGGACTGGAGCAACAACCGCCAAAAGCTCGCCGATTGCGGCATTGGGTTCGGCATGGAAGCCTTGGGGGGCAAAGGGGGCCTGATCTACATAGTCACCGACTCCTCCGATTCCAACCCGGCGAACCCAACTCCGGGCACGCTCCGCCACGCCGTCATCCAAACCGAGCCCCTCTGGATCATCTTCTCCGCCGACATGACCATCAAGCTCAAATACGAGCTCATTGTCAACAGCTTCAAAACCATCGACGGCCGCGGCGTCAACGTCCACGTCACCGGCGGTGGATGCATAACCCTCCAGTACGTCTCCAACATCATCATCCACAACATCCACGTGCACCACTGCAAGCCCGCCGGCAACACCAACATCGCCTCCAGCCCCACCCACGTTGGCTGGCGCGGCAAATCGGACGGCGACGGCATCTCCCTCTTCGGCGCTCGCAAAATCTGGATCGACCACTGCTCCCTCTCGTTCTGCGCCGACGGACTGATCGACGCCATCATGGGGTCCACCGGAATCACGATTTCCAACAACTACTTCGCCCACCACGACGAGGTGATGCTATTGGGCCACGACGACAAGTACCTGCCGGACAGCGGGATGCAGGTGACGATTGCGTTTAACCACTTCGGTGTGGCGCTGGTGCAGCGTATGCCGCGGTGCAGACGGGGGTACATCCACGTGGTGAACAACGACTTCACGCGGTGGGAGATGTATGCCATCGGCGGTAGCGCTAACCCCACCATCAACAGCCAGGGGAACCGCTACACTGCTCCTCAGGACGAGAACGCCAAGGAGGTAAGAATTGTAATTTTTGTTAAGTTCGTGTCTTTTTTATTTTTACGTTCGGATTAGAGGGAAAATTGAAAAAGGTTAGCATGATTGTTTCATGATTTTGGGAATTGGTTCTTTGGCGGGCCCAGTGGGCGGCGCGTTGGGTTTGTTGTAGTCACGCGCTTCCAGCTGGCATAGGTTGTCCCTTTATGCCTACATGTCAAATGGGAAAAAGGGGTTACATGGGATATAAATCATCCCACTTGCACTGGCGTTTAATTTGCATACTTGAATAAAATGCATAATAATCCGATTAATTTGTAATACCGCCACAAATGTTTTTGATGTACTTAAAAATGAGTTTAGGGTGAGAAAAGGTTTTACCTTTGCATGTGTGATTGTTTGAAAGTGAAAAGGGCATATTGGACATTATAAGAAGCTACTGACAGAGACAGTAGTGCCCGACAGTGAGCATGCGTAGGTAGCTGTTGATTTGGCATGACCTTGTGAGAGCCAAAAGACCAAATTGGTTATGATATTTTTGCTCGCGCGTGCTTGCACAGGTGACAAAGCGCGTGGACACGAACGAGGGCGACTGGTCTGACTGGAATTGGAGGACGGAGGGGGACATCATGGTAAATGGCGCGTTTTTCGTGCCGTCCGGCGCAGGAATGAGCACTCAGTACGCCAAGGCCTCAAGCATCGAGCCCAAGTCCGTTGCTCTCATCGAACGAATCACAGCCAACGCCGGTGTTTTCGGTGACCCAAGGTACGTAAAATTACCACAACACCCTTCCCCTCTTTACTTTCTCAACCGTACTACCTGCCACATTAACTGTCATATGAAAATATTTAAGTCGAAAGAAAATTTGGACAAAATGACTAAAGTACCCTTGCATTGCATGATAATTTCTTACTGGGTGGCTTTTTTGGGTGGGAAGCACTTTTGTTAGATGTCTGTCTATTACACACTTACAAGTTAAAATGGTTCTCATCGAAGCACTTAAAAAGGGCAATGAGAACAATTTTACATAAGAGAAGCGTTTTTAGTTATCCGAAAACAAGTTTTATTATTGGTAGTATAGTTAGGTGGAAATGAAAAGAGTGGGAAAATGGAGTTGGGTTTTGTATGGCTGCACGTGATCATGAGGGGACCATTGGGAATCTAGCTGCTTTAGCAGCCCTTACAGTTGTTTGAGCTGTCTAAGTCCTAGTGTTGCCCGTTGTCTTTCCACTTCTACTTTTCTGCTTGGCAAAAAGCACCCAATGCACTATTCCCATTAGTTACAGCTTATTAAATTACAAATCTGTTATGCTTCCAAAAAGAAAATTACAAATCTGTTTTTGCTTAATTTAAAACAATTAAGCTGTGACCTTGGGATTATATGCAAGTATGTCCGCCCACTCTCCTTTTTGTCATTTGATGCTTTCTAGGCTTCTTGGGCGTTTGACCTTCTCAAAAGACCATCTTATTTTACAAACCAACAAATGGTGCAAATGATGAAGTGTATGAAAAAAAACATCCTATTTTACTACGAGAAATGCTAAGAGGACTCTCTATTGATTCTCTAGCATATTTTATTTAACGTTGATTTACGTGCTAGCATTATAAAATGTTATGCAAAAAAATATGAGATGTTAAAGAGTTCATAGAGAATCTTATTTTTGAGTCTCCTTAGCATTTTTCTTTTACTACTGGTCGGGAAGTGATTTTTCACTACTATTACTATTTGCTCTCTCTGTACTCCATTTGTTTAAGCCTCTTAATTGAATAAATTAAAATTAAAGCAGAACTTAGGACGAAGGAAAAAACGGGATCAACTGAATACCAAAAATGCCCTTGTGCTTGAGATGTAGTTACATTGGGGAGGGATAGGTTTGTCTTTGTGGGGGGAAAAGGTCGGTGCAACATTGTCAACAACTAATAAAGAGCGTCCCCATTAGAAGAAGCTTGTGAGATGTTTGGATTAGTGTGAGTATAAGTGTGTGTAAACAGGAGGAAAAGTACTAAAGTTTTGCATGTGGAGCCTTCTTTTTTTGTGATGGCTTGTGCTGTAGGAGGCCCAGGTTTGGCCCTGTGCTCCGCATTGGGAAGGTGACTCACATATTCCCATCATCTGCTTTTCAGCCAGCCAGTGTATGGCCCGCCCCTGCATTTTATTTTGCTATTGGGTCCACTCCTGTGATTTCATAATAATCAAATCCAGATATGGACAACTTGCCCATGCATTGGACCCCAGGTCCTGAGTCTTGACTGATTCTTAACTTTGATGCCATTCTGTCCTTTTAGTTTTCAGATTAGATTACTCTGTAGGGTTTTTGTAGATTACTCTTCTTTAGTTTATTTAATCCGACGCTCGGAAATTGAGAGGGGTGTATGAGAAGTAAAAATGAGTGTCTGGATGACATTACTACTGATCAACGAGTCGGAACAACCCAAGTCCATGAGCCGTTCATTGAGAAAAATAATTATTGACGAACGCTGGCATAACGATCTCCAGCTAGCTGTTTGTACTACTTCCGCCGAAGATTGCTTCCAATTCTGTCAAAATTTCAGTAGATTTCTTAGCTGACTTTTCCTCGGATTGTTTCTTTGCTGTATTGTTTTCCAATCCTTTATCCCAAAACGGCTAAAGCAATTCCAACAACTTGAGAAAGGGCTTGCCAAACTAGGAAAGCTCCCCCCACAGCCCCTTCCCAATCTTAGATTGTTTACTGGTGAAGGCTAACGACAGTCGTCCTCAAACACGTTAGGCAACTGTTCATGATCTTCGCAGACGTTGCTACATCTTAAAACTTGTTGCAGATTGTTAATTGTATAGGGTTTATTTTCATGGACTCTTCTGTTGCACCAAATATCACCATTCATGTCCTTTTATTATTCGTTTACTTATCTGGTTGTAACTTTCAACCCTGTTGTCATGTTGTAGGGAAAGCAGTCGCGTAACAAGCCCTGATGACGGGACCATCACCGACGGCGGCAGCACCACCAGTGGCAGTGGAGGATCGAACGGCAAGGGCAATGACGATGACTATTTCGGAATGATATTTGGGAACGGTGCTGGACCAAGCTCTTCATCATCTTCAAGCACAATATTCTTGTGTCTCTTAATTATTTTTATTTTGTACGTTACCACTAATCATGGTGGCACTCTATTATCTTTACCCTTATTATTAACATTATTATAAAATTCAAACAAAACAAATTTGGGACAAAAATTTCCCAAATTGTTTGATTGCTTCTGTGGTCCCCACACATGCTTTTATTTATCTGCATTATTATAGGTTTCTTGTTCCTTAAGATGACATAATTTTGGGTTTTGCACACTATCAAGTGAGTGAGGTGGTTTTTGAGTGTGTTTTTGACTTTGAAAGATCATGTGTTGGATGTTTTGATTGGTTGAGATTGGTAGGTTTATCGAGGAGAGAAACTTGAGTAGGAGGATCGATCACGTTGTCCGCAGGTCACTTCTCATAAAAGGTATAAATTTATCAACCAGATCGTTTACAGGGCACTTTCCTCATAATGAATAGAACCCATTGTAGTTTTTTAGTTCATGCGACTCCACGATAGTCTCGCTCAATGTGAGATTTATTATAGTCAGGCTGCTTTACCGAAGTTTCTTCCTTGATGGGGATGATGTCGGAAAGAAAAGAAAGGAGAAACTTATGGGGAGAAATAGGATAGGATATGGTTGGTCGAGACGGCATTTTCGGATGGCAAGTCAAATTCAGGGGCTTCTCTCTTTTGTTTTTTTATGCATCATCAACCGACTATTCTTGAATTTTGAGTGCTTCTCCGAGTGATAATAATGTAGTTTAACATGGCATGTTTCTTCCCTCGAATCTCTCTTATCTTGAGAGCGCCCGCCCCCCTTTCCCCCTTTTCTCCTCTTCTGTTCTTGTAAGCTAAAATCTAAAAGTGCTTCTATGAGTGCTTTTTTCACATTCGTGCACAGTGCTTATTCTACCTTTGTGAATTGCGGCCTAGTAAAATAAAATCTAAAAGTGCTTCTTCGAGTGCTTTTTTTTCAACATTCGTGCAAATGCTTACGATACTTCTGTGAATTGTGTGCTAGTAAAACAAGGAAACAGAAACAGAAGAAAAAAGTTTTACATAGCGAGGTTTATTTGAAAGCCGGAAATGGTGTGGTGCTCCTACCTCTAATCGCAGAGCATTTTTCAAACACATTCCACGGCAAAGATTCTGAGTCTAGCCTTCTCTGTTCATTGCCCTCGACAACGAAGGAAGAAAAAATAAGGCCAAAGTGGTGAGTTTCGTACTGCATGCATTCCCAGAAAGCCACTGCGATAATCGTTAAGAAAATTGAACAAAAATATATTTATAAGCTTGTCGAAGAACACGAAATCACCGAGTAATTCGACCCAGAGAATGAACACAGCCTAAAGTAGAAAATGTATAATCAAAAGAAAGTATGCACATAGCTTTTCCCTTTTGGGAAGAATGGAAAACAATGGCAAAATCTTTGCAAGCATTCACAATCTGCCATCACAGTCATTTCACCTTGTTACAATATCTATATTTTCCTCCGTTACGGATTATCTGTAGGCTTGGAAGGACTTCGACATTGCAACAAGTTTGAAAAAAAACCATCTAAGTAGAAAATTTGAAATATTTATGTCCTATATTTAGTTAATTAACCAAGACCATATCCTCACCGCCTGCATTTGCCGCCACTGCTTCTATTCTCTTCCAAGTCAATTCCCGCTGCTCTTCCAATTCTCTAGTCCTGTTTTCTCTCTCAAAGTATTGCTGTTGGCACTCTGCAAACAATTCTGTGTCCATTTCCTGGAACATCCTTCGGACGTTTCCTGTCAATCCATGGATTGCTTGGTTCCAGTGACCTTGCGTATTCTTGTCTAACGCTTCAAAGACTAACGGTAATATCACATTACGGTTCTGAGAAATTAAAGTTACAATGTGCTCACTGTTCCACAAGTAAAGAGCTCGTTCAGCAACCTGCCACACATGTTTACATTAGAAACACTTTTCAAACAGAACCAGAAACACTTCTCAGTTAGCTTTCTACTTCATTGCCAAGAAGATATTTTGTTGTGTGATGACAAGTAAGATGCATGTACCAATAGATTCCGACCCAAAATTAGTGGTAATACAACAATGCGGTAACTTTATTGATTAAAGAGGAGAGCAAATGTGAAACTATAGACACTGCCTAGCTGTTATGAAAACTCAGGACCAAGCAAAGGTACTTGTTGGCTAACCTGTCCTTAACCCTCTTTGGGGACAACAGTTTTTGTTTAAAAAAAAGTACTCTAATTTATAATTGGAGTGTTATACTCAAATTTCAAACCAATTATTCTCCAATCATCTATAAATAAACCCTTCACAATCCAAACTTTAGAAGGAAAAAAACACCAATTTGATTAATAGAAGGGCCCAATCATGATAAGTAGTTTATACAAAGGCTAGAAAATTACAAGCATGCCATCAAATTTAAAACCAAGCCCAATGCCCCACTTTTACAAACCTAAGTAAAACACCTTTGGAATGGCCCAATCATGATAAGTAGTTCATGTACGTTGCAGAGGTGGATGATTATCAGCCTAACACTGCCAGCAAGCTACACACAGCTATGTATAGACACCCAAAACCTGCTGTCCAAAAGACTGGCACATGTGTAACATAAGAAATTAAAACACTATTGGGAGATCACCAACTTGGAATGACATACACATCGAAGGAATCATTCTCATTCGGTTTAGGTTCAATCAGTCCCGGGTGACAATGGAAGAGGGCAAGGGAAACCATCAAACAGTAATCAGCATACAATAAACAGGTAATTCTCTATCAACTTATTAACTTATTTCATAGTATCCGATGTAATTAATTAATGACACATTTTGATCACATTTATCTCAACAATGTTAGAGAGATTACTGATGAAAAGAACAACATTCCAAAACCAAAATGCCCTCTAAAGATAAAGATGCTTTTGAAACGCAAAAAACAATTAAATGATATCTACCATGCTACTTGTGTAAAAGGAAACAGTGTCTTTGGCATTCACCTGGAAATGAGGGCTATTAAGACAGCGTCCAATCTGTCTAAAAAGCGGAAGCATACATCTTTGAAACTCGTCAGCCTGTGTAGCCTGCAAAACGTCTTCCAACTCTGCGAGAAACAGAACCTCCTTTTGACAATTGGTGACCGGCCAATACTTCAATAACCCCTTGATCACCGGTTCGGCCAACTTAGAATCCTTGTCTACAAACTGTATGATACAATAGGCCAACTGGTAATGATACGCAGATACGGACTTGGGTTTGTGCAGGGGAATAAGTGCCCTAATTAGGAACAGCTTATGCTCCTCTTTCATCGGCAACGCAAAGCCGTTTATTATACTCCCTAGAATCTCCAACAACTCACCAATCCCACAATGCTTCTGTGTCTCGAATATAAACCTATAAAACACATTGTTCATGGCCTTCCTAATAAAGGGTCTATGAACCATGAACTTCCCATAAATCCTATGCAAAAGGGTTTTCAAATACTCGCGTTCCCGGGGATCCTCCGAATCGAACAACTCCATTAACCTCAGCACAAATACATGATCAATGTAACGCTTGGCAACTTTAGCATCGGTTTCAGGGGAGGCAATGTACCTTAACAAGAGTTCATAGACAATTTGGAGGTGGGGCCAGGAGGGTTCCTGATAAGGTTCATCCTCGTCCGGTTCGACTAGGTCCCATGACGGCGGCAGGCACCGGAAGATGTTGATGGACACCATGCGGATGAGCTCCTCTTGCATTGGACCGGTGAGCTTGCAGGAACCGGAGTCGATGAAGTCGACGAGCTCCATTAGGGTTTGGCGCTTGAGCTCCTTCTCCCCAACAGATTTGAGAGAGCTGGAGAAGTCGCAGCAGAAAGAGCAAAGCTGGAGCTTTTTGAGAAGGAGGGCCGGGCGGTCCGAAACGGCGGCGTCTCGGAAGAGAGGGAGAGTTTCCATGGGTGAAGAGAGAGCGGCGAGTCGTGACTCGGGGTCGAACTCGGAATCCGTGGAATCGGGTTTTGGGGATTTGCGGTGGCCGCGTTTTATAATTTTGGTGAGCATTTTTTTTTTTTTTTTTTTTTTTTGGTAGGGAATTTTGGGAAGGGATAAGGAGGACCTAGGAGACTGGAATGGAGAGGAAAGTTAGGGTTTTGGGGAAGGGATAAGGAGGGATTTGGGGGGAGGGGGATTGGGGATTGGAAATCATTTGGGTGTTCGGGAGGTGGGAAAATTTGCAGAGAAAGTGTGGGAAAGTTTGGAGAGTGGAGTGTGATTGAGGAAGTAGTTTATGGTCACTCTTGTTCCAACTGGGGGAGTAAAGCTAAACCATATATGGAAATTTTACTAAAATATCAAAATATCTCGTTTTATTTGGAAATTTTACTAAAATATCAACTACTTTAGTGTTTTTTCTTTCTCTTTTGGAAGCGTACAAAAGTTTTGGGGTCATTTGCTGTGTTTTTAAATTATCAAAATCGTTTTTAAAAAAAATATTTTTGAATTCTAAAAGCATTTGAAATGTGTTTTTTTTTTTTTTTTTCAAAATTAACTTGTATTTTTACCAAGATTTAGTTTAAAAAAAATTTTCTTCAAAATTTTTCGCTAAAAATGTCTCCAACCGTTTAAACGTTCTTCCCAAACGAGTACTTACTACGTGTTTCTTTAAATTTTCCAAGTCTTTACTAAGAGATTCTAACACGTCACGTCACCATATATATAGGATATAGCCACATAACAAGAACAAAGAGATTTTGCCTTATCACCGAGTGTGTATATCACCAGAAAACATGTTTGTACAACCACACCCCCAAGCGTGAGATGATGGAGAACTGCAAGAGGGGATGGTTGGAGCGCGAAAATCATTTCCCTGGAAAATAAGGTAAAGCAAAAAATTTGGAAGCATATTTGTCGAACAGATTAAGAGACTTTTCATAAAGGAGGAGCGGAGATCCAACATTTTTACTGCCAAAATACCAAATCCTCATTAGTAACTTGAAAATAAGAAGGAAAAAGAAGGTGAAAAATTACCACATCAAAAGGCATCATCACCATGGATCCATGTTTCGACAGATTGGAAGCAACAAGGATGGCCCACAAAACCAACATACAGGATTACTGAAAAGAGTTCGGTTTGATTCATAGAAAAACCCGATTAAATTAGGCAAAAGCTCCAGCAGCAGCAGAAGGCATTAAGGGTACGATTGCTGGTTTAACCACTGTTGGGGCACTCCCTTGCGAAATGGCCGGACTGTCCACACTTGTAGCAGCCACCGGAAGCACCACCGCCTCCACCACCGCTATGGCCGCCACCACCATAGCCTCCACCGCCCTGGGAGCAGTCCCTCGCCATATGCCCAGACTCACCACACTTGTAGCAAGCACCACTGCTACCACCTCCACCGCCCTGGGGGCACTCCCTAGCCATGTGCCCTGACTCACCACACTTGAAGCAAGCACCATTGCCGCCACCTCCACCACTACGGCTGCCACCACCATAGCTTCCACCGACCTGGGAGCAATCCCTCGCCATGTGCCCCGACTCACCACACTTGTAGCAAGCACCACCACCACCTCCACCACCACTGCGGTTGCCACCACAATAGCCCCCACCGCCCTGGGAGCAGTCCCTTGCCATGTGCCCGGACTCACCGCACTTGAAGCAAGCACCACCTCCACCACCTCCACCGCCCTGGGGGCACTCCCTCGACATGTGCCCGGCCTCACCACATTTGAAGCAAGCACCACCTTTACCGCCTCCACCGCCCTGGGGGCATTCCCTGGACATGTGCCCAGACTCACCACACTTGAAGCAAGCACCACCTTTACCGCCTCCACCGCCCTGGGGGCACTCCCTCGACATGTGCCCAGACTCACCACACTTGAAGCAAGCACCACCTTTACCGCCTCCACTGCCCTGGGGGCACTCCCTCGACATGTGCCCAGACTCACCACACTTGAAGCAAGCACCACCTTTACCGCCTCCACTGCCCTGGGGGCACTCCCTCGACATGTGCCCAGACTCACCACATTTGAAGCAAGCACCACTGCCCCCGCCTCCACCTCTACCCCCAAAACCCCCTCTACGCCCACCATCTCCAAAACCCCGTCCACCTCTCCCACCACTTGAATCCTCAGGTTGGTCTACATTCCCACCATCTGTTGAATTCCAACCGCTTTTACTGCCCCAACTAGATTTCTGATTTGCATCACCAGATCGTGAGTTCCAACTACTTTTTTTGCCCCAAGTTGAATCTTGGTTCCCACCAGTGTCATCAGATCCAGATTTCCAATCACTTTTCTTCCCCCAACTAGAATCTTGATTGCCACCAGTCTCACTAGATGGAGAATTCCAGGTACTCTTCTTCCCCCAACTAGAATCAAGATTTCCACCAGTGTCACTAGATCCAGAGTTCGAGTTGATTGTCTTGCCCCATGTAGAATCCTGGTTCCCACCTGAGGAAGTAGATCCGATGTTCCCATCACTTTTCTTACCCCAACTAGATTCTTGATTGCCATAAGTCTCACTAGATCTTGAGTTCCAAGTGCCTTTTTGGCCCCATTTAGAAACCTGATCTCCCCCTCCACCACTTGACCCACCTTGCCAAGCTGTAGTTTGACCCCAGCCTGATGATTGATCTCCCCCTCCACCACTTTGTTCTTCATTGGTGGCAGATCCTTTGCCCCACTTGCCTCCGTTGTTCCCCACTCCGCCAGTGGTTACATCAGCTTGTTTACCCCATGAAGACCCTCCAGTTTGTTTACCCCATGAATCTCCAGCTGGCTTACCCCAAGAAGAACTGCCATCTTGCTTACCCTCTGTTGAACCGCCACCTGCCTTACCCCAGCTTCCAGTCTGAACATTTTCAACTGGTACTGAACTTTTCCACCCTGCATCGCCAGCACTTGATTCATCTTTACTGCTCCAGTTCCCTGTGGCTTTATTCTGAGGCTTACCCCAAGCAGGCCCATCACTACTGACTGCATTTCCTTTGTCCCAAGATTTCTGTTGACCCCACCCAGGACTTGAAATATCCCCAGATGGTACATCAGAATTCTTTCCCCATGATCCTGCTTCAACAACATTTTTACCTTTGCCCCATGAATCCAGTTGACTCGTCCCAGCAAGTTCAGCCTTCTGCCCCCAAGAGCCACTTCTTCCCCAGTCAGCACCTTGATCATTGTTATGTGGGGCACTGCTGTCACCCCCAGTTTTAACACTTGATTTCCCCCATGAGTCGCTTTTTCCCCAGCCAGTGCCTTGATCATTGTTATCTGCTGGTGCACTGCTGTCGACCCCAATTTTAGCACTTGATTTTCCCCAAGTGTCTCTTTTTCCCCAGCCAGCACCTTGATCATTGGTATCTGGTGCACTACTGTCACCATCACTTTTGGCACTTGATTTTCCCCAAGCGTCACTTTTTCCCCAGCCAGCACCTTGATTGTTGTTATCTGCTGCTGCTGCTGCTGCACCCCAGGACGAACCTGTACTTGGAGCTGCTTTGCTCCCCCAAGAAGTATCATCATCTACAGGTTATGAAAAGAAAATAAATGAAGCATCTTTGCTGAAAAAAGCACTGATCATCAAAGACGTCGATATCATTAAACTTCAGAACCGAACATACCTTTTTTAACATCATTAATAGGATTTGCACTAGCCCAAGAATTACTGCAAGAAAGTGGCCATCAGCCTCAGATTATACACAGAAACATGGTAAAAAAACATATCAAATAAACAAACAGAAAAACTACGTTTTGTACAAATATAAGACAAATTTTGTTGGGTTACCTTTCACCAGATGGCCCTCCAGCATTCCACCCACCACCCCCGGCTGATGCCCCTCCAGCATTCCACCCATCACCCCCAGCAGATACCCCAGCTCCATTTGTCCAGTCTTCAAATATAACAAGCACCATAGGTCACATTTTTAAGGGTCAAAAACAAAATATCTGAATACAACAGTGCTCTTTCCATATATGCGGCATGTCATGTTGACTACATTGATAACCAACTGAATGCGGTCAAGATTAATAACTTTAACAGTATACCATGTCAAATTGTCCGGAATAGAGAAACATTGCCCCATATATAGCTTTAAGATAAAACTAAAGTATGGAATGGAAGTAGAAATTGCTTCCAGAAGATTCATACCATTAGAGCCTCCTTCCGTTCCAAGCAAATCAAATGGTTTTAAACTGGACTCCGGATCCTCACTTTACAGAGAAAGAGGACATTAGCAGACTTATTGAAAAGACAATTAAGTAATGAAAAGCTTGGCATAAATGATGAATTGACTAAAAATAATTACCTAATCAGCACACTAGAACTCTTTCCACGAACTTCAGAAATATGCTCTTTTGTAACTGCATAACGATGAAACAACCAAATTATGACAGATGTAGAATTGCATTCACTGATCAACCAGCCAAACTCCATGCAGTAATCAAAATGATATTGACCAACCTGTGAGAACCTTTTGCTGAGAATCAAGCTTAACAGTAATATCAGCACGGCGTATAGCCAAGATTCGACAGAGGTATCCCTTCAACGGACCCACACGGATTCTTACAGTTTGACCAATTGAGAACATTCCATCTTTATCACCCTGATTGACTGCATTAAATAATTAATCAGGAGGCAGAAAACTTGATATTAACAATTGAAAACTTAAATCACAGCATTAGCACTGATACATACAGTTACTATCCCTTTCTTGCCATGGCTTTTTTGGCGATAGCGGGGATTTAGGAGACGACATGAAATCTCCAAAACCCAGAGCACCTGAGTCCCCATCCTGAATGAGAGAGAAATATCATTACCAACACCTTCTTGCTAATATGTAATATACCGTACAAGAATACTCAAGGAACACAAAAAAATAAGCTTCCTACCTTTTCTTTGCTAGAATCAATGTAAAGCTTAACTTTCTCACACATTTGGGATTTTGAGCAAAAATAACCACCATTTTCTGTCTCGTTCTCATCATACAAGAATATGGTGCCTCTATATATTTGCTTAACAATACCCTGCCTACCCTGCAAAATTGGGACAAACTAGTGTAAATACTCCAGACTATGGAGGCATATGTACAGTGTACCTCAGTAAACTCTTTTTCAAGTACTAAGATAATGATCTCAGGTTGTGTCAAACCTCCAAAGGTCCTTCCGATACTTTGACAGTATCACTAACGCATATGGCCTTCATGTGCCTATCTAATGCCGTAAATTTCATATCAGAAAGAACAGTCTTTAACTCACGCTTCTGAACCATCAGCACAATAGGTCCTTCCACTCCCTCTTTCAGAATCTAGGACACACATTATAGAGTGTTAGTACGCATTTTAAATCATCTGAGGAAACAAACTAGATTTTGTACCTTGTAACTATCATCTTTCTCCATGCCTATTACAAGACCAAAATCTTTCCGGCTGCAAAAGAAATCATGACCAGTAAAAATCATTTTGATGTACATAAGCAGTTCATGGAAGGTCACCAAGGTCACATAAGTTCATACAGGACTCACCCAAAACAAACAAGATCATACAGTTCAAAACCACTCCCACCAGAACCTGAAGAACCCCCGCCTTTCCCCATAGACGTTGATGAGTCCTCTCCCTTCCCCATTGAACCTGACGAACCCTCTCCTTTCCCCTTAGACCCAGATGAACCCTCTCCTTTCCCCATAGACTGCGATGAGCCCTCTCCTTTCCCCATAGGTCCTGATGAACCCTCTCCTTTCCCCAAAGACCCTGATGAGCCCTCTCCTTTCCCCATAGACCCTGATGAGCCCTCTCCTTTCCCCATAGACCCTGATGAACCCCCTCCTTTCCCCATAGAACCCGATGAACCCTCTCCTTTACCACCACCTTCTTCAATTTTGATGGTCCGCCTTTTCTTTTCTGTTGTACCATAAAGTTCTGTAAGCCAGTCCTCGTCCTCATTTTTGGTGTTCTCAGAAGGCTTGAATTTCAGTAGTTCCTCTTCTGATGGCATAACACCCCAGAAGCTTAATGAATCTATTGATACTTTTTTGTACAAATATCCATCCTTGAACATCAGACCATCAAGAAACTCAAACTTCATGCCACTTTCACGATCAGTCCTGTACTGAATGAGAGGGCGGAACTCCCTACACACAAAATAAATAAATAAATAAATATTAGATCAGAAACTAGCATGAAATAATGAACTACCAGCCAATGATCTGTGTCATACTCGAGTTCGTTTGAGCTGATCAATCTCGGGGCAGGAGCAGGCCTTTTCTTTCTAGTACCTCCTCCACCCTATAGAGTGAAAGGAATCAAACACATACAGAATCTTAAATCGTATTCAGATTCAAAATAAAATCTGGATAGCAAAGTTGCAGATACACAAAGACATCACATATCCAAAACCAATTAAACAAGCATTAGAGGAAAGATATTGATGACAATGAACCCGTTACCAACAAACAGGAAGAGGAAAGCATGTGATAAAGAAACTCAAACAACAAACAGAAACAGGAAAGATAGTTCTTACAAATTTTGCAGCCATTGCTTGAAGATCAATTCTGGGGATCAGCTTTAAGGTTGCTCTTTTTCGTAAATCATTCACAAACACAACCTACAGAAACAAAATCCAGATAGGGGAAACAAGTGTCAACCGTTAAAGCAACCCAACCAACCCAACTTGGGACAAATTATACCTGTGCCAAATCACCCTTGTAGTTCCCATTCTTCACACGGGCCCACATGCCCGCAGTAATTCCATTGGATTTAGTCCGAGGAGACAGCAAATGAGAAACTTCATTATTTGGAACTGGCATTACTCGGGAAGGGTATATACTACAAATTCCTTTACATGCCTAAGAAAATCAATGATGGTTCAGATATTAGTAAAAGAATAGTATTGCCCAAACAAGAAACTTTTCCTGTATTGACTAATAAAAAGATCAACTTTCTACAACATCCAAAGAAACGATCACCTCATTAATATCAGACTGCTTGTCAGCTTCAACGAAAACAAAACCCTTGATGTGCTCAACAGCAAATGCAGAAACAATCTGTAGTTTGGTACCTAGTGATCGGAAGTCAACAAACTTTTGCATCATACAGAAAGCTGAATGCCTCTCACGTCCAACCTACAGCCCAAAACATTTGACTGAGAAATGATTGTGGTTCTTTATAGAAGAAGAAAAAAAGAGAGAGTCGTTTGGAGCTATTTCAGAACTTTTCTACCCAGAAAAAAATATGTAACATAACATTCACTGTCATACCATGCATTTTACTTTCCAGATGACTGGATCCTTAACAGTAGGCAAAACATTTCCATCAATCGACCTTTTGTTCTCATAATTATCTTCAGCATAGGTTACATAGCTAGAACCACTCCTGTATCGTTCTTCCATCATTTTTTCAAATTCTTCACCATCCAGATCCTCCTCCTTAGGAACGAATGGAAGGTTATGTGCTTTCCCTGGGTCATTCTGGGCTACAGGTTCTGTTTCAAATTCTTCATCCATAAAATCTGCAATCAATCATTTCAAAAGAAACTTCCACTGTAAACACAGATTTCATAGGTGAAATGCAGAGACTCATTTATCATGGTACCTTTTTTGCACACCTAAGACATATATTCCATGACTAGTCATAACTAACCCTGTACAATTACGCCAAAATTTCACCATCTACCGCAAAAGTGCAGCTTGTTTTGATGGACTTCACGATGTGGGCACAGACGCTTGTTATAACCGTTTTTTTTTTTTTGGTCAAATGATAGATTTGTTTTTTTTTTTTTTGTCAAACGATAGATTTTGTTAGATTAGATGTTAGATTAGCTACCAGCAGGGTTTCAACCCACGCCGTCATGCAAGGGCTCAACACCTTTCCACCACTTTGGTAAAGGGCCACTTGCCAAACGATAGATATGTTAGATTAGGGAGTCAATGGGGTTCAAACCCACACCGTGGTGCAAGGGAAAAACTCCTCTCCACCACTGTGGTAGAGGGCCACTTGCGTCACTTATCATAACCATCACCAACCCAAAAATGTAGTTTAGATGTCCCATATAACACAGCATGCAACTGCAATAGTGCATACTGAACAACATCAGCACAACAATGTCCAAATGAACATAAGTTTCATTGTATGAAATTGAAGAAAGTCTCTCAAAACCATTTTACATTATGGTCAACAAACAAGTTTAAGAAATTAAACAACCCCACTATACACTTCAAAAATAAATTGATCAATAAACTTTATAAAAAAATTGAACCTCCACCAAGCAAGCACAAAAGCCAGAAATTCAAACATACAAAGGAAAACGCATAAAAATTAATAAAGAAAAACCTGTCAACATGCACAAAGGAAGCTAAAAAAAATACCCATTTCAAAAACCCTAGAAATCCGAAACCAGATGGAAAATGCGCGATCCAAAACGAAGTCAGAAACAGAATATACCGTCATCGAAGTCACTGTCGATTCCGTCGTCGGATTCGGCAGCGGCGTCTTCGAAGAATCTGAGGACGCCGGGGTTGCTCCTCTTCCGGCCACCACCGGACTTGTCGTCGTCGTGCTTGCGCTTGCCGCCGGAGAATCCACCTCCGGTGGCGATCCCCTTTCCCTTCGACGCCATCACAATGTGAGGTTTCCGAGAACGAATGCCTCAATCTCACATGCAGCGAGACAGAGAGAGAGAGGTTTCAGTCTTTGGTGCCACTGCTGACTGGTGAATTGCGCCTCAAAGCTCTCAGCTTTTTTATGTGTAGGTGGCATGTGGGGAAATAGAAAGTGTTTGCGATTTTACACTTCTGTCCTTCGTTTGTATGCTTTTTGACGGCTTTGGCGGGAAAATTTTTAGGTGTACCGGGTACACCAAATTTTTTTGGTGTACCCTCACTCATTAGAATTTTTTTGGTGTACAAAAAGTGAGGGTGCACCAAATTTTTTTGGTGTACCCTCACCATTATGAGTGAGGGTACACCAAATTTTTTTGGTGTACCGGGTACACCGAAAAATTACTCCTTTGGCGTGGTTGTTGGCAAGGAGAAATTTTTGAGAGTGACGGGAACACCACCTCAACAAAGCCAGATGGTGTTCCCAACCAATTAAATGTTGACAGCTAGATGTTGTCATTTGTTCACTTAAAAAATACTTGAAAAAGCTGAAAACTCAAAAACCAAAAGATTCCTCATAACTCTGTTAACATCTCCGTTTCTTTGTTTCAAATCAAAAGCTTTTTGCAAACTTCAAGGGAAGTTGCAGACTCACTTCCCTCTTCTTTCTTTGAAAAATAACAACAATTCCCTCCATTTCTCACAAACTCAAACCCAGACCAAGGTATTATGGATGGAGACTTAAACCCAGACCAAGGTATTACGGATGAAGACTCAACCGCAGACGAAGGTAGCTTTCTGCAGGTAGCCTCAAACCCAGATGAAGGTATTTGATTTTGCCTTTGAATAAGTTGTATGTGTGAGCTCTTAAAACATTTTGCATGATTATAGGACATTGCTTTTTTGCTCTTGGCCATGATATTTTTTTTTAATAAAATCTGATTATTGTTGATCTCCCAATGAATAATGCAGTCATTGATATTGAAAGCAATGTAGAAAATATTCAATGCAATGCTCGAGAAAAAACTCCACCTATTGTAAGTCTTGAAGAGAGTTATGTTGGAGATTTGTATGGAAAGATTGTGAAAAATGAGCAAGAAGCTTATGATCTCTATAATGAGTATGCAGCACACATTGGCTTTAGCATTCGAAAGAAACAAAGAAGATATGACAAAAATGGAGATCTTTCAACACTTAATTTTTGTTGTTCAAAAGAAGGTTTTCGGCAAGATAGTGACCCTTGTGAAGAGAAAAAGACTAAGAGATTGGACGAGAGAACAGGCTGCCAAGCCAAAATTCGATTTTTACTAGAAGATGGTGAGTGGAAAGTCTCTACCTTTGATCCTGAACACAATCATGAACTTGCAATGCCAGAGGAAAGACAATTTTTAAGATCAAATCGTAAAATTTCAGAAGCTCATATGGGTGCGATTAAAACCATGGCGAATGCAGGTATAAGAACTACAAATACGTACTCATATTTAGCAGAAGAAGTCGGTGGGTCTCAAAATGTTGGGTTTACGAAAACAGATTGCTACAATTTTGTTAGTAGGGAAAAAAGAATTATGCTTGAAGCAGGGGATGCTCAAAGCTTGATCAATCATTTTAAGCGCAAGCAAGCTGAAGATCCAATGTTCTTCTACACGGTGCAAGTTGATCAAGAAAACCGAATGACTAACTTTTTCTGGAGGGATGGAAGGTCCAGAATTGATTATGAGTGCTTCGGGGACGTAGTAGTATTTGATACTACATATCGAACCAATAAGTACAACATGATTTGTGCTCCTTTCGTTGGAGTTAACCATCACTGGAGTAATGTGTTGCTGGGTTGTGCCTTTTTGTTGGATGAGAAGACTGCTACATTTGAATGGTTGTTTGAGGCATTCTTAGAATCAATGGGGAATCAAAAGCCTATAACCATTTTCACTGACCAATGTCAAGCTATGGCAAATGCCATTATGGTGGTGTTTCCTGGGACATGCCATCGTTTATGCACATGGCATATATCAATGAATGCTACAAGAAATATACCAACACTTTATGGAATCCCTGAGTTCAAAAAGCTATTCAACAAGTGTCTTGACGGATGTCAAACAGAGTTAGAATTTCAGCATACTTGGGATGCAATGATTGAGGAATTTAACATTGCACAAAACAAATGGCTTAAAGGTCTTTATGCCATTCGTGAGAAGTGGTGTCCAGTGTTTAGCCAAGATGCTTTCTCTGTGAGGATAAAATCCACACAAAGAAGTGAGAGCATGAATAATGTTTTCCACCGTATGTCTACTAAAACAATGACTCTTACTGAATTTGTGCTTCATTATGAAAAACAAGCAAATGGCATGCGTTCAAAAGAATTAGAAGAAACCTTTCGTTGCAAGCAAGGTTTGCCTTCTACAGCAGCTAAAAACAGTGGTTTTCTTAAACGTGCTGCAAGTGTCTACACAAGAAAAATTTATAAATTTCTTGAGTATGAGTTTGTTGGCAGTTTGGCGGTAAAAATGCGTGAAGTTGAAAGTGATGGAACCCTCCAAACCTTTGAACTTAATGAGGAGGGTCACAGAACAGTTTATGTTGTCAAATTCAATTCCTCAACTTTCAACATCTCATGTAGTTGCAAGAGGTTTGAATCCATGGGTTTGTTATGTCGTCATGCTCTACGGGTAATGAATGTAAAAGAAGTTTCTCAAATACCAAATCAATACATATTGAAGCGGTGGACGAAAGACGCAAAGAAAGAATGGAATGAAAATGAGCATGGAGAATCTTTACATGTAAGTGACAATTTGTCAGTGACGTTACGTCGGAATACTTTGATGCGGATTGCTTATGGTATATTGAGTATGGGAGCTGAGACAGAAAGTTGCCATAGAATTGCAATGAAAAAATTGAAAGAAATGGCACAATTGCTTGACAAAGAAATGAAGTCAAATGGGGAAGAAATTGCTAATAAAGAAAGCAATGACGTTTTGAATGATGCTACTGTTCGTGATACTGATGGAGTCAATAACTCAGCTGATGAGGCACCGGTGTTGAATCCTCCGAGTGTGAGGCCAAAGGGAATAAGTAATGCTAGATTGAAAAGTCATATGGAGAAACGTAAAAAGAAGACATCAAATGTTCTTGGCTCATCTAGTAAGAAACTTGTACATTTTAAATGTTCACATCTGTGTTATTCTTCTTATATATATATATATATATATATTAATAGTAGTTGTTATTTACTGGTTCAGAGAAAACCAAACCACCAAGTAGTGGTGGTCCTTCACATACCGCCAATGCCAATGTTCGTTTCCCTTCAACTAATCAGGTAACTAATATGTATGTTTGATTTGGATTTTCTATATACATTTTGCTTAATTATTCATATTCGATATTCGATATCGATCAATTTTTTGTAGTTCTATCCAACTATGACAATGCCAATTATTTATGTTGGGTCTCGTATCAATGTTTGTAGTTCTATCCAACCACGAGATTGTCAACCACCAATGTCCAGACTAGTTTGCCTTTATCTAATCAGGTAAACAAGTTTATAGGTTTGAAATTTGTGTTGGTGTTGTCAATATTTATTTATTACAATTTTCATTTTTCTTTTAGAGTCCCAACTACAGTTGGTCATGTTCCCCACCAAACTTTGCCTTCACCAATGTGCTCCAAAGTCAAAACTGTATGACACATTTAAATCAGGTATTGTGTTTTTCCTTCTACCTTTTGCTTTGAATTAGGTATTTGTGTAAATTCTTTGTTGAAGTTAAATTCTATGTAATGCAGGATGCCTTTCCTTGTGGCTTTGAGGAACATGAAGATGCTTGTAACTCCTAATTCTGATCATTTTAGAATTCACGTCAAGATTTCAGTGGTTTTGACAAACATCAAGTTCATGAAAGAATGTTTTCTTGTTGTACTATGTTAGACTTATTATCATAAATCTGAAGCTCCATAATTTGACATTAGAATATGTGGCTTGGAAGTTTGGAATTTGACATTAGAATACATATGACTTGAAAATGGTTAAAGTTGATTTTAGATTAAAATGTGATGGTACAAGAAGTTTGGAATTTGACATTAGAATACATATGACTTGAAAATGGTTAAAGTTGATTTTAGATTAAAATGTGATAGTACAAGAAGTTTGGTTTAACCCCAGAAATGAGTTTGGGATTTAACCCCATATAGTGATTAAAGTGTCAGATTTGCAAATATAGAATGCAGGACACGGACATGAGAAGTCTTGTAACTTTACCTTCATTAAATCTTGGGGCGACAACCATTTAGTGGAGACTAGAGATGATCAATGAAGTTGATAACAAACCATTGATCATCCAATTTTCTTGCTTAGACCTCTAGATTGCATTTGGTAGCTCCAGTAAAACGGCATAAGGTTTCTTGTTTTCTGAGTTGTGAACAGGTAATAAATAGAGTTTGTTTGAATTTATGCAAGTGTTGTATGAGGAAGGAACAGAGCACAGGCTGTGTTCAATGATACTCACATGTGCAAAATGCTAATCCTATGGTCTAAAGCTAACTGGTTTTTAGTGTAAAATCCCTAATTTCACTGCATTTGGATTGATCACAGTTCCTGACTTATTAAACTTAATATCTCCTTGTACATTTTGGGAACTTGACAGCTTAAAGAAGTGCTCATAAAAGCAAATTACACAATATCTACTAAAAAAACTTAGAGAAGGGACTCAGTTAGTCAACAAACATGCACCTCACACTTAAATATTAAAGAACAAAGAGAGAAAACCAAGCCGAACTCTTCAAAATTCGTTGGCACACATGCCTCATTGGCTCAATTGAATGTATAATGCATACTTAGATAAAACAATTCGAACAGTAGCTCAGAAACAGTGCTGAAATTCCATTAGCACTAATCACACACTGCCGGAACAGAGATCCTAGCAAAGCTACACCAATTAAATGATAAAGACTAAGAACCATAAGGATGAGGAAGAAGATGGACTTCAGATTGCTGGCAACCCTGTTGTGATGAGGCCAAGTCTCCATCCAGAATTTGGAAAACCCCTAAACTAGAAAAGCAAAAAAATTTGGCAGTTGCCCTGTTGTGATCACCCGACGACGCAAAAGCTTTTCAATTGAAATTTAGGTTTGAGTCTGAGAAAACAACTTCAACATTTAAG